GCCCGGAAGGAAAAGACAAGAAATCGGGCCTTCTCGGCGGTGGCTCCTCGCCTCTGGAACAACTTACCTCCTGAGATTCGCGGGACTCCCTCGCTGGGTACTTTTAAGAAGCAATTAAAAACTTGGATGTTTCGGCAGGCCTTCCCATCACAGAATTCATGACCTTTTTCTTTCTCCCTTACTGTTTTATGTTTTGTGTCCCCGCACTGTATTGTAGTGTTTTATGATTTAGAACTGTTATTGACATTTTCATTGTACTATTTTAAGTTTGTTAGCCGCCTAGAGTGGTCCTTGTGTGACCAGATAGGCGGGATATAAATAAAATAAATAAATAAATAAATAGTATATGGGTGAAACATAGTGAAAAATAGCAATAGTCTTCTGAATGGATATTACTGTTTCTTGCTTTAAAGGAGGCTAGGGCAGAGCAAATAATAAATTCCTTAGCAAAAGACCATGCAAAGAATCAGTAGCAGTAAGAGCCAAGGAGTTCAGAATCTCTGTACTTCATGTTGCTCTGTACCAACGTACCCTCTAATTGTCAGCCCCGCTGGGTGGGGCTCTGCCTTTCACATGACCTCTCCCCTACGTCTGCGTACATGACTCCACCCCCATGCACATGCAGGATTCTCTCACAACTGGGGGAGGAAAGCTGTGCAGAGGGGGGTAGAGTCATGCACACACAGAAAGAGAGTCTTAGAGGGAACCTTGCTCGGTACCTAGACCCACTGCAGGAAGAGGATAGGATGACCAGAATTCAAGTACCTATTAGAAATGGGGACTAATGGGGGGGGTGTATGGTGATTTGTCGCAATTTGTCATTTATCTAAGTTGATGAATGGATGAATCAACAAAGCGCCAACTTTTAGCAACGAATTGATGAATATTTGTCAATTTGTCATTAAACAGCTGATCAGTGGGCCATTGACAAGCAGGCTGGCTGCAGGAAGGGAACCCAGGATTTCTCTTCCCATAGCCAGCCTGCTTGTTGATGTCCTGACCACCAGCTTATCGGAAGAACATTGACAACCAGGTTGCAAGAAAGCAAACTGGGTTTTCCCTTCCCACAGCCAGCCGGCTCAAAGGGACGAATAAAAAAGGGATGAATAAAAATTCATCCCTTTGTGTTCGTCAGGGTTTCTGGATGTGACGAATATGAATGGACAAATATCCCATGAATCAGCAATATTTCACAGATGTCATGACTCATTTTCTTATTTGTTGCCATGTCTAGTAACCATTCCATGTGTGATCTGTTGCCATTGAGCCTGGGCATCCCTTTTCTTCAGTTAGTTACTTGAATGGCTTATCTAGATGTAATTGTTGCTTAAAGGTAATAATGTGAATTTCTTACTTATTTTGTTCTCAAAGGTGAGAGTGAAATATTACAAAAGCTTTCTCTTCACAGGGAAAGATTATGAGTGTTTTAGTGCACTTTTATTCAAAAGTCTTGGGGCACTGTCACAGAAGTTTTATGCAAAAAACCAAGATTTTGCACAAAATGCCAAAAAAACTCCACAGTGACTAATGTCCTAAAGCAGAAGGAGGAGCTAAGGCCTCCTCCTTTGAAGAAACATTTTTCCTTTAATTCTACTGTTAATGGGGGAAAGTTATGATCATGCAGGAGCAAAAAAAATCTCATAGCAACTGACTGTCTTATCAATAGGGTGTCTTTGTATGTTGAGATACCCTTTTCATCTAGGATTAAAATACTTGCAAGTAGCTGCTACATTATGAATTAAGGAACAGAACAGCATGCTTCATCATTTTTGTTGCTGTCTAATCTTTATTTTTCTGTGATGCCCAAAGACATAGTGTATGATATAATTACTGTCTCTTTTGCCCCTGTCCCAGGTTAATGGCAGTTGAAGAGGAACTGAAGAAGGACCATGCAGAGATGCAGGCTGTCATTGACACTAAGCAGAAAATAATCGATGCACAGGTAAGGAGCCAAGTGTTTCTGCCTGCAGACGTTGCCACCACTCTTCTGCTTCCTATTATGTCCTGTGACTATTGCCTTAAAGCAACTTCTCAGAGGAATGTGTTAAGACCTCTTTCCTTGAAGACAGGATAGCTCTTGCCCTAGATGGCCTGGAGGTAGGAATAAAAGCTTTGACCACCTGAGACACCTCCTGAAACCACCTGAGACACCTCCTGAAACTACACAAGTAGTTTCATGAGGCTACTATGGAATATTATCTGACAGAACTTTGGCTTGTGACCTTGGGCAACCATGGCTTGCAGTTATCTGCATTATGAGATATCCTCTGAGGGTACCTGCCTTGTCTGACATGGGGGAAACAGAAATGCATGAAGGCACATACAAACTCATCCCTTTTTGGCTTTTCTGAGATGGATTTCGAAGCTTTGCTGGGGCGTCCTTTGCCTACCTGCTTGAGTGCACTCAGTTCAGGTGGGAGGAAAGAGGATCTTGGGTCCCTCCTAATTTAATCTCCTTGTAAAATACTGTACTGTTAGTGAGGAGTGCCCCTTGTCCTCCAAGCACAGACCTCTCCCCTTTTTGGCACCAGTCACCGCAATGATTCTTGCAGAATCATTTAATTAATTAATTGTTATATATCTCTCTTAAACTTGTTAAGTTTTTATGTTGTAAGCCGCCTAGAGTGGTCGAAATGACTAGATAGGTGGGGTATAAATACAATCAATCAATCAATCAATCAATCAATAGGTAATCTCTTTTACAGTGTCATTCCATATCAATCCAATCCCCTGGTTTTACCCACCATAAAAGGGACAGATTATGGAACTTCCCACTGTTTGCTTTTCCTAGGTGATCTGTGGTTTTTCCTCAGTTTAGATTTAATCATAAATGCCTGTTTTTTACTTAGCCTTTTAAATAATTACTTGCCTAGTCTTCTGTAATGAACTGAAATCTCCAGATGACTTTCAGAAGTCGGGGTTTCCCTTTTTGTCTTCAGTCACTACTTGTCTGGGTAGGAGGGCTAGTAACTCCTGAGGACTTATTTGTAGGGCTGAAGAATAGCTTGCTCAAAGAAGTTAAGTGGTATAGAAGGCTGTGCCAGAAATAAGATTGGTGTACACATTGAGGCCAGATCTCTCCAGTTCATTCTGGTGATAGTAACAAGAAACTTAGTTTGGGGCTTTGGTCACAACTAAAGATGGGCACGAATTGGAAATATGGTGATTTGTTTTGTTTTGTGATTTATCAAGGTTGACGAATTACAAATGTACATTTTTTCTAATGAATCAATGAATCCATTTGTCAATTCAGTTCTTTATTTTAAAAGCTGATTAAATGGCTCCCAAGAACTCCAGGTTTGGTGAAGCTTGGATTTCGGATCAAGATGGGGGGGGTATTTGTCTTCGTATACGAATACAAACATTCTACCACAGCTGGATTCAGTTTACTCAAACATCTAGCAATGGTAGCAGCCTCGCTCATTCTTCCAATTACTCCTGGAGCTCTTCCTGCTCAGCTAGTGACTCAACAGCCATGCAAGGAGACTTGTTCTCCCTCCCACTGCCTGGAGTGGCCAGGTGAGCAGGAAGAGAGTGGAGCTCTGTGAGTGATCGGAAGGATGAGTGAGGCTGCTGCCACCAGCGGACATGTGAGTGAATGGGCTGGCCACTGCGCAGGGATATTTGTATTCATATGCAAATACACCCATCTCAAGTTTCAGATGACTGAATTATAAACCCACAAGGAAGGCCTCCCCAGGAAAGTTCTCCCCAGGCACCTGGAGAACCAGAATCACAGGTAAGCTTCTACTGACTCTCCTCTACAATCCCTCCAGGTTTGGTGAAGATTGGGTTTCAAATATCCAAGTTATAAACCCAGAAAGTGAGTCCCCCCAGAAACATGCCCTTTAGCAGCTGGCTTGGGGAAACCAAATTGTCACCAAAACTTGGAGGTATTGAAGCAGAGAGTCAGAGGAAGCTTCCCTGCAGTGTTGGTGTCTCTAGGTGCCTTGGGGCCCATTTTATAGCTGAATAAATCAACAAACCAAAAAACATTTTAAAATTGGTGATTCATGATTTGGGGGGGGCATTAATTTGTAAGGCTATGAATAGACAAATTTGATGATTCATTTTTAAATTCACTCCTATCTCTAAGCTCACCTAAATTTAATCATTCATGAGTAATTCTCTCAATTGTGGGGGCAGGGCACTGATGTTGCCTGGCTCTCCCACAACTCCCAAGCACCGGGTTGAAAGTATTGTGACTTTGGAAGAAGGCACTGCAACAGCCCTCACTTGGATTATTGCTGACTTTCTAAGAATGCCCTTGCTTTATCCCTGCCTGGTTACTGTGAAGCAGGTTGTTGTGACTCTTGTGGCATCAGAAAGAGCAGTGTAGAGTTTGCTTTCTCATCCTGTGTTCCAGATGTCTTGCCCCCATGTTTTCCCCTTGCTGCACCCTGTTTTCTGGTCAGTCTGGCATTGCTTGTTGGGGAGAGGAGGATCCTAGATGTCACTGTTGCATCTCCCAGCCCATGTAATTCAGAGCTTCACTGTGTGCTGAGCTTCCATTTGTAATTGAAGTGACATCACCACTGTGTTAAATTACAGGCTTTAAATGGGGATAATTCAAGCAGGCAAGTATACCCAAACAGTTCTTTAGCTGACCACCCCCCTGCCCTGCCCTGGCCTGGCACACTAACCTCCCCCTACACATTCCAGTTCCTGGCACTCCCTGAACCTCATCCTGATGCTGTTTGAAACATCCTTGGATTAAACTCTCCCAGAAGTGTCAGCTCTTATCACAGCACTCATACCTAAAGCAAGCAGGACAGTGTCCTTGTAAAAGCACTCTTGGTGTCTAGTACATATGCATGTGCACTGTTTTAAGATATACATGCTCCAAAAAGAGAGTCTCAACAAACATGTAACTCTGGTTTCCGTTGCTATTAGTGGTCACATTAGAGGGGGCTTGGGTGACGAGTGTTCCTTTTTTCATTGTTCCAGGACATGTATTTAGTAGGAAGGCGTATAACAGACATCTTCCTTCTTCATAGTAAACCCAGAAGTGTAAGGATGGGAAGGACAAGTCACACAGCCTTCCTTTTATGATACTTCTCTGGGCCTACCTAAGCTGCTGTGAGGTTACTAACTGTATCTGTTCTTTGTGGCCTCTGTGAATCACACCGTGGGTGATCCGTGCCTGTGTGGAGCCTCATTGGAAGATTCTAGAGCTTCTGCAGTAGCAAAAAACACATTAGAATAGACCCCTCCCCACTCTGTATAAGTACCTTGGCGCCACGACTCTTCCTCAACCATTGCATTCAGAGCCTCGTACTTCTTGCTTCCATGAGTTAAAAGTGAAAGAGAGCCTTGCAAGCAAACACGGGTCCAAAAACACATGTAAGCCTGGACAGAGAGCAATCAGGAGTTTGCACATGCTAAAATGGGCTGAATGAGTCCAAACTCAGCTAGCCATGATACAACACTCCCTCTTACAGGTCTGCCCACATAAGAACACCCTTGTACTCTCAGATATTATTGTGAAAAGGTCAAGTGGGCTATGTAGTCCTTAGACTTAACTTGCACCACTGACAGGACTCTAAGTAAGCTAGGCCGAGGCAGCACTCTCAGATGACCCTATGACAAGTGTACTGTTCAGAAAACCAATTGAGTTTTATAATCTTTATTTTATTAAAGAATAAGCATGTTACTAGGTATCAAAGCCAAATTAAACCAAAACAAATAAACTAGCATTGTGCTGGTAAGTTACAAAGATGTAGTGAGGCAAAGAAAACATGAAAAATAGAAAAGTGTTCAAAAACCTTACAAAAACACAAAAAGCCATTAAAAAGAATAAAAACAGTTCCAGTCCA